TAAAAGAAGTTTATGGTCCTTTTTATTGAAATGTTTATTAGTTGGATCTTTAAAAAATTAAAAGAAAAAAATATTATAAAATAACATTATTTTAATAAAATACCACAAAAAATATCAAAATAATTTCATTATTATTTTAAAATAATTTATTTTAACATTTTTCAATGAAAATTTATTAAAATAACATAATTTTAAAGTATTTTCTCCTTTTAATTTTTTAGATATTTGACTTATAATTACTTTCTCCTCCTGTTTTTTTCTTAGTATCGAACTTAATATAATTCTTCAATCTAACTTTTTCATAATATGAACAAATTTAAAAACGTTTATACTTAAATGATTAATTAATTATTAAAATAATTTGATATTACAAGAAAAATGCTCAAATTTAAACTCAAAAACTCATTCATTCAAGCTTACTTAAATGCTTATGAATTTGAGCACAATCTCATAAGTTTTAGTATACAACTACTTGAACCGGATTTTTAGATCCAATAATTCGACCTTAAGCCTTAAAGTGTTTGAGGGAGGTGATTGAAGTTTCGAATTTCACGATTGTCTTAAAAACTCCCTTCCCCCATCTCCCAAATTATATACTGTTCAAAAAAAAAGAAAAGTATACAACTACTTGAACTGGATTTTTAGATTCAATGGTTTAACCTCAAGCCTTAAAGTGTTTGAGAGAGGTGATCGAAGTTCGGAGTTTCGAATTTTACGATCATCTTGAAAACTCTCTTCTCCCATCTCCCAAATTATACACTGTTCAAAAAAATATATATATATACAACTACTTAAACTTAACTCAAAGTCAAATATTTACAATTAGATCGAGGATAAATACTTAAAAAATCGACTCAACTAAAATTGTTAGCAACCTTATTTCCAACCCAAACTACAAATTCTGTTATTTTTTGTCCCAAAAAATTCTGCAGTACAAATACATATGTAGCCTATTTGTTGTTAACTTTTGTCATATCAATGCCACGTATCATTTATAAAATCATAGAGCATAAAATCACTAGAAAATGATTAAAGATCTAAAAATACATACAAATACATAAGTCCAAGGTAGGACCTATGTCCCCTAGGCCAGTAGGCCTTTTCTTTTACTTCACCTTTTTTTTTTTTTGAGACCCCGGGTACGGTCTGTGCCCAACTCTGGGCCTCTTTGGTTCCGTCATTGGGGGCAAACCTTTAATGCTAGGACCTTTTTTTTTTTTTAACAAACCATTCATATCTTATGGTTTAATAAATAAAATTTTAAAGCTTTATTTAGTTTATTAATTGAGAATATTATCAATTGTTGTTAGCTTTATTAATAAGTACTCATTGCCTATTTAAAAAATATATATTAATAAGTACTTAAATATGTAATTTTAATTTATAATAATTATGTTTTTATGAAATTTGATAAATTTTTTGATATATACAATAAAAAGTGTGACTATTAAATTAGGATAGAATGAGTAAACAATAATAATTTAAATTTACATTTTTTTTAATTTCTAATATTTAGAAGTTGCTGAAATCAAGTTATTTTTTATTAATAATATTCAAATTTAAGATCTTATTTAAAGTAAATTGAGTTTTTTTTTACTAAAATTAATAAGTTATTTATTAAAATTTACGTTGTTGATAAGTAATTAATTTGATAATAATTTCAATTTTCTATCGTGCGTTTTCTGTCGGCAAATGCATAATAGGAATCAAGTGATTCTATCGTGTGGTTTACTATTTTCTGCCCTACGGGCACTAATAAAAAAATGAAAAAAAACACGTTTGAAATAACGACAGTTGCTATGTTGTTCTCTAACAATTTTGTTATGTTCTTGCTTGCTTTGAGTACTTGGATTGCTATTTTGATATCTGTTGTTGCATTTGAGGATGATACATGTGCAAGATTTTAGAAAAATTAAAAACAATACAGAATTATAATACGATTGTTTGGTCATTTGTATTAACAATTTAAATAATTTATTAATAATTTTGTTTTGTTAAAAGTAAAAAATTTTAATTTTAAGTTTTATAACATGTAAATAAGATAAAAAATAAAAAAATATTATTTATTATTATGCAACTAACATAAAAAAAATAATACGTGTCGGCTGCTGATAAAAAAAAAAAAATTTGTTTGTGTTGGTTGTGTGCAATACATGCCCACTTCAAATTGTCCATATGTATCACGTCCATTTGAAAAATGATACGTGCATCCTTTAATTTAATTTTTTTATATTTATTTTATTTATTTATTAAAGTATAATATAAATATAATTAATTTAAGTAATTTTTATATTTATATATCATTATTTTTTAAAATTTATTTATTTTTAATTTAAAATAAAAAATAATTTTTTAATAAATATCCCACCTATTCCGATCAATGGCCTCTCCGCTACCCTTTCATAAGATATGTCATTCCATAACACAACCGAACAACCAGTCAGACATGACTATCGCTGATCCCAGCCTGTTGAAGATAAGGTGAGTACAATCTTAGGCAAAGTTATTCTCGACCCCCTCCATTGCTAATATAAAAAATAAAATAAAATAATCAACATGACCTAAATTTTTATTGGGAAATGTTTTTTTATAGTTTTTTATCTTATTTTTTCGTATAATTTTATGTATTATTAAAATAATTAATTTTTTTTTAATTTATGCAACATCCGCTTATATTAAATGCATAAATTTATTTAATAATATATAAAAAATTATGACAAAAAAACTATTCTTACAACATAAACTTTTTTTTTATTAGGTTTTTTGGTACATTAGGCAATTGCCTAATTTCTTATTTATTACTGTACCTAATGTTCTTTTGTTTTTATCCTTTTCCTTTGAAGTACAGCATAATATAAGAAAACAGTGGATATCTATCTCAATTTTAAATAAAAAATTAAAATTAAAATTTTAAAAATATTATTATTTAATGAATTTTTCAAAAATTAATGTTAAATTTAATGTTTTATTGATATAAATTATATATATAATAATTTATAATTTATGAAAACAGTTAATCTAATATATATGAATATTTATTAAAAAACTCATATTTTTAATATATATTTAATAGTATTAAATTTTATATAATTAATGAATCATTTTTAAATATATTTTATTAATTTAAAAATTAATATGTATAATTTATATAAATAAAATTTTAAAATAATTAAACTTTTCAAATTATTAATTAAAAAAATATTATTTTTGAAAATATTAAAGGGTAAGATAAATATTAACAATCGGATTTGAAATCAAAATTAAAATGTTACGTCACAAAACCTTTACCACTGAATCACGTGATTCACGTTCTTTATGTCTTACTTGGTGAACAGTAAAAAATACTATCCCAACTACCACACATGTGAAACATTGCAATATGTTTATTCAGTGATTATAAATTAATCTTTTTTAGCAGTGTCTCTTTTTAATAATGTTCCAATAATCAGTGATTGTGATTCATATTTATAATGAATTAAAAGAATAAATAGTACTATTTAATTTTAATTGTTTTACTTTTTTTAATGTTTTAAATATTAATTTTAAATGAAACTTTTTGAGTAATTTCATTTAATTGAAAAAAAATTTTAATTATCAATTATATATTATCCTAAATTTTGTTAAAAATTAAAATTTTATTATTTAATTTTTAAATATTAAAAACTTATATCTTTAAATAAATAAATAAATAATAAACAAACGAACAAACAAACTTTATATCCTCCTTCCCACGTTTTTCTCATTTAATTTGCAATTTTAGTCCACACAAGTACATGACATGAGAGACCCTCCGTTTCCCTCGAAATGTCAAAGGGAACGGAACCGGCCAAGACTTGCGCAACACTGGAGCAGAATTTTCATTTCCCCCGTGAATTTCATTCATCTCCTCAAATATAAGTAGCAGCACCAATTAGCAAAGCAGATTTGGCTCAAAAAAACCAAAAGAACAAAGGAAAAAGCGAGTGCTCTGTAAAACAAGCCGGAAAAAGCCAGAAACCCATCTGAAAATGAGTACTTTGAATGTGGTTCCGTGGGTTCAGACCTACCCTGTCTTTAAGCAAGCAACAAAATCTGGATCCATTCCCATAGCCGTACCCAGATCCCCAACTTTTGGTCCTTTCAGCAGATTCAGTCTTCCAATGGTGTCGTCCCTGAAATCCTGTCCTGTTTCTTCTGTACCCTTTATCTGCTCGGTACTTACAAGGGAAGCTTTCACGGAGGGAGCAGAGCAAGACCCGCAAAACCCCGCCTTTGATTTCGAGTCCTATATACTGCAAAAGGCGAATTCTGTCAACCAAGCCCTTAAAGCCGCCGTTCCACTCCGGGAACCTTTGAAGATCCACGAAGCAATGCGTTACTCTCTCCTTGCAGGGGGGAAGCGCGTGAGACCAATACTCTGTATTGCCGCGTGTGAACTCGTCGGCGGCCGGGAATCGATGGCGGTGCCGGCAGCTTGCGCCTTGGAGATGATCCATACCATGTCGCTCATCCACGACGACATGCCGTGTATGGACAACGACGATCTTCGCCGAGGAAAACCCACCAACCACAGAGTATTTGGCGAGGATGTCGCCGTTTTGGCCGGCGACGCGCTTCTCGTTTACGCATTCGAACACATGGCAGCGTCAACTGTTGGTGTCACGCCGGCACGGATTGTGCAAGCGGTTGGGGAATTTGCGAAACTGATTGGCTCTGAAGGGTTGTCTGCGGGTCAGGTTGTGGACGTAAGCAGTGAGGGGCTTAGCGATGTGGGATTGGAGCATCTAGAGTTCATACACTTACGTAAAACCGCAGCTTTGCTTGAAGCCGCGTTGGTTCTTGGGGCGATTCTCGGAGGCGGGTCGGAACAGGAGCTGGAGAGATTAAGGAAATACGCCAGATGTAGCGGGCTTATGTTTCAGGTGGTGGATGACATTCTAGATGTGACAAAGTCATCCAAGGAATTGGGAAAAACCGCCGGCAAGGATCTGGTGGCGGAAAAGGTGACTTTCCCGAAGCTGATGGGGATAGAGAAGTCCAGGGAATTTGCTGAGAAGCTGAGGAGTGATGCTGTGGAGCAACTTGGGTGTTTTGATGCCGAGAAGGCCACACCTTTGATTGCTTTGACCAACTACATTGCATACAGGCAGAATTAGTCAGCAGGGAATATATTGTTCGTTAAATCCTTAATTTGCTCCCTAAAGTATTGTATAGATCTTTAATTTGGTCCCTGAACTAAAAAATCTCTGATTTGGTCCTTAAACTATTGTATGGACCTCAATTTAGTTTTTACTGTTTACCAATTTGCCCCAAATTAGTCTTTCCATACAAAAAAAAAGCAAACGTGTCTAATATTTAACAATGAAAAATAGTAACTTAACGACAGAAAACAGTAACTTAACGATCACGTGTCACATTAATAACGAGACACGTCAACTATTTTTGTATAGAATGACCAACTTGGGGTAAATTAATAAACAGTAGGGACCAAATTGGAGATCCATACAATAGTTTAGGGATCAAATTAGAGATTTTTTTAGTTTAAGGACCAAATTGAAGGTCTATACAGTAGTTCAGGGACCAAATTAGGCAGTTAACCTATATTGTTCTAGGCAAAAGGTACCTGTTTGCCCTTTAACTTTTCGAATTTGAGGCGTTTTACCCCTCATATTACAATATATGAATTTTTACCCTTTTTAGTTTTGAGTTTAAGGAAATAAGGTAAAATTTAACGTCAAAAGATCACATGTAACATGTGCATCGTTATCTCCGTTATACATTTACATGTCAGCGCCATCTCATCAACAATTTTAACTCGTGGATCCTATTTGTTGACTTACAACAATGACATGGAAAGAAAATATGACCAAAAACAAAATTCTTTTTTTTTTCCTTCACTTTCCCTTTCTCCCTTTGGAACCCAATAGCATCGAACCCAGCAAGCCTTGGAACCCAACAAGCCTTGGAACCCAGGCGTGGGTTCCTTGGAACCCAGGCGCTAGGTTCCTTGGAATCCAGGCATGGGTTCCTTCAAACCTAGCACGCCTAGGTTCCAAGGAACCCAAGCGCTGGGTTCAATGGAACCTAAGCATGGGTTCCTTCAAACCCAGCACGCCTGGGTTCCATTGAAGGCGCTAGGTTCCTTGGGACCCAGGCGCTGGGTTCTTTGGAACCCAAGTGTTGGGCTCGATGGAACCCAGGCGTGGGTTGCTTCGAACCCAGCATGCTTGGGTTCCCTAGAACCCAAGTGCAGGTTCTTTGGAACCCAACGCTTGGGTTCTTTGATGGAACCCAAGCGTGGGTTCCGTCGAACCCAGCACGCCTGGATTCGATGGAACCTAGGCGCGGGTTCTTCTGTCCCTCTTTTCTAAACAACTTTTTCCAATTCTTCAGCTTCCATTCATATCAAATTTTGTTTGCTTTCGTTTTCTTTTTTTTTTTTTTTCCAAAGAGTGTAAGATCCTTTCTTAGTTCTTCCATTTTTTTCTATTTTTATTTTTTTTTCTGAACAATTAGATTGATTTTGGTTTTTTGTTTTTGACTGCAGAATTTAAGACAAGAAGCTGTAGGGATTTCGAACTCCTTTTGGATAAGAATATTGTTTGGAACTGATTGTATTCCAATTAGTAAGGAACCTTCCCCCTTTTACTTTTTATTTTTTTGTTATGATCCTTCGAATGTAATGGTGTTTTCATATTTTTATGTTGAATTTAAATTTGTTCATTGTTTTTGATGGTTCGTTGATCCTGTTATTTGCTTCCTTTTTTCGTTTCGTTTAAATGAATGCCACTGTGATTTAGTGCAAAGAAGACAATGAAAAATGTTAGATTGAGTTTAGGCATCATTGACGATTAAAGGTCTTCAATTTGGAGGCTGGAGATGTCTACCCAACAAGACAATCTTGATTCCAGCAATTTTTCAGGTGGTATGGCAGGAATTTCTTATATATGCTAGATAGGAAAACTAAAATTTCTAGTGCTGTGTTTGTTAATCTAATATTTTTTTTTGTAGGTTTTGTTGTTTGAAGAACCCAGCAAGGGCAGAGGTTGGTTGAGATGTTAGGGTTTGCAGAGGTTGAAGAAAGCGAGGAGGAAAGGGAAAGAGGAAAAGGAGGAACAAAAAAAAAAAAAAAACTAAATTGTTGGGGTGGGTCCAAGCTGGACTTGCCAACATGTCAAAAAAATCCAAAATGTATAACGGAGGTAACGATGCATGTGTTGCACATGACATTTTGACGTTAAATTTTACCTTATTTCTTTAAACTCGAAAATAAAAAGGGTAAAAATTCATATATTGTAATATGAGGGGTAAAACGCTTCAAATTCAAAAAGTTAAAGGGCAAACAGGTACCTTTTGCCTATTGTTCTACAGGTACAGGTGATTATCGAACTTTTGTTTTATTCTTTTCTACTTTCTATGACTATGGTGCGTACTTTATATTATATATATATAATATATATTACTATGGTAATGTTAAAATCAAGTCCGTCCACTATCATATTGTTTGTTTTGTACTTCTTTCGTTTTCAATGGCCAAGTGATGCGTTTGTATATAAGTGATAGCTTCTTTCATTTAAAAATAATAGACGTGTTTTATTTTATTTTAAAATTAGAAATTTGAGAAAATTTTGTGTTTTATTTTAAAAAATAAAAAGATTTTATTAAATAATAAACAATTAAAAATAAAAAATAATATAAA